TCCTTTGGCTAGCCATAAAAGATAAATGCTGGACAGCAGATCAGATAACAAAGAGGGGGCTTCCTCATCCAGATAAATGTCTACTCTGTGACCAAGAAGAAGAAACTATTCAGCATATTCTTACAACATGTGTCTTTGCATGACAATTTTTGGCATAGTGTGCTCTCTCCACTTAATTTACAGCAGCTGGTACCTAATAGAACGGAACATAGCTTTGCCACTTGGTGGAGGAAAATCAGCAAAGGAGTTGGTAAAGAACACAGGAAAGGAGTAAACTCCGTCATTTTGGGGGCATGGATTTTGTGGAAGCAACGAAACGCCTGTGTTTTTTATGGAGCTTCACCAAGTGTCTCAACCTCATTGAGAAACTTGCAGCTGGAGGGACATCTTTGGGTTCTGGCTGGGGCAAGAAACCTCCAAAACCTTGAACTAGGGTGTGTTAGGCTCTAGGTCCAGTGCAATTGCTTAGTTCCAGTGCAATTGCTTAGTCGGGTTGATTTATTGTAATCTCAGAAAGGCTCTTCTATTTGTTTTGTTTTACCCCCTCTTACCTTGGTCCTAGTAAGAGGGGCTTTGTAAGGACCACTCTTTTTTCCCTATATAATACAAAGATACACAGCTCTCCTGCGTGTTTGAGAGAGAAAAAAAAATGTCATTATTTTTGCCTTCGGATACAAAGATCACCGAAATCTAAATGAGATAATTATTTTTTATAATGAATAACCCTTTATGTGCTTTAAAGAAACGCCTCCTCCCCTTATCCTAAATTCGTAGTCTTATCAAGTGTGCTGGCTATTCTGTGTTTGAGTATTTATCCAGAACGTTAATACTAAATTTACAAAAGCATTGCAATTTTAACAGAACGCCAAGCCATACCAGCAAGGGCATTGTAGAAGTCACGACCGAGGAAGTTAAATCCAACACTAATCCCTGTGGTTCCCAATGTGAGAGCAAACACAGCAGCAAGCCTCAGCCTTGCTTGGGTTTTATCCTCAGACCACCAGTAGGGAGCAGCAACTTTCCAAAATCTTGTAGCTAGTGTCTTGAGGTCTGTACCATCTCTCTGCAGGTACCAGCAAGACACCAAAAAGAGAAGTTCACATTCATCAGCACTTAGCAAATAGCAATGAACCAGAAGTGACTTGTAACATGAAACAAACCAGAAGTGACAGATGTAATCTATGTTTCCACATCTTCTCCGTGAAAGAGTGATGAGCAATCACAGAGCATTAAAACATACTCACAAACTAGAATTGCATCTAAACTACGGTAGTGTATCTCAGAGCTTGTAAAGTTTGACAATTATCCAATCAGTTGAAGCACGCTAAGACATCACAACGATTATGCATCCAGATTTGAACTTGGCTTAATTAAAAAAAACGCACAGGCACGAGATTGTGCCAATTTCATTGATAGAGAAGTGTAACTTAGAATAATTAGGTACAGGCATCTATCTACAAAAGCATCTAAACAGTCACTTGTTGCCAAATTTATTCTCATCTAGCACACACCTCGAGGCTCCAGTGAACCTGATCCTCACACCAGTCGAACAAGTCCACAGCGAAATCTATCTATACAACGGTACAAAACTACAAGCCAATGCGGCAGTGGCACCGCGAACCGAAACCTGGAGACGCGGATTCTGAACAGTCCACTACTACTACTACGAAGACTAAAATCAAAGTGAACTAAGCCCCCCTTTGGCATGGCTCTCGCACCGGCTTTTGCAGCAGCTTTTGCATAAGCTATACCAAACACATGAATTGAAAATGGTTTCATCGCGTGAGCCGGCAAAAGCCGTATGCCGAAATGAACTGGGCGTCGCGAGCCAGAAATAATGGCTCCCCCCGGCTTCTCCCCATCTACGTACAGAAAGTTGGGAGAAATTACTGGTTTGCCACTGCCTCAATAATTCCCCATACCGGTTCCTCACTCTCACCCATCCGCATCCTCTCTCTCACCCATCCGGCTCCTCTCTCTCACAGTCCCCGCGCGAGTCTGGCGGCGGCGTTGCGGCCATGAACCAGCTGGGGCGGACGGCCGGAGGCGGGCGAAACGGCGGCGCAATGGATGGATCCGGCGGAGGGCATCCTGATCCACCTGCTCGTTTTCCCGAAGGCGCGGCTTCCCCTCATCCGGCCGGCGCTGCTTCTCTTCATCCCGCCGGCGCCGCCTCCCCTCAACCCGCCGACGCCGCCTCCATTCAGGCCGCCTCCCTTCGGGCCGCCGGTGCCGCCTCCCCTGAGGCCCCTAATTATTAGCTTACCTATATTTTATATATATATTTTTTTATTTCACGCAAATCACATTATTAATAGAGTCAACACATAAAACTCATATCTCCAAGCAATAAACACATGCAAGGGCACAATGGACAATTGACATCTTCTATACATTCTAAAAAGCTAGGAGAAGCCGTTTTGCCAAACGTTTTCGTACAAAATAAGCCAGAGAAAAAGCTGCTTTTCCATAGGAGCCAGAGCCAGAACTGTTTTTTCACGAGCCAGACCCGTGCCAAACGGGCCCTAAACAAAGCGAAGGCCGAGCCGATGACGCGCAGATGCCCAGAACCGGGTAGAGTAGAGAAGCCAGCAAAGCCTCACCTTTTCCTGGGCATCGGGGACAGCGACCTCCCCGCCGCCGCCGGCAGCGGCCGGAGGGGTCGCGGCCCTGCGGCGACCGCACCGGCGCATGATAGAGGTCACGGCCGGAGGAGGGGGCGGGAGTCCGCGGCGCCGCGCCGCTGAGCGAGGAGCGAGGACGGACGCGAGGCGGTGGGGTGGCCGCGGCAACAGCAGAGGCGGTAGTTGCGGAGGCAGCGCAGTGGAAGGGAAGCGTATGGGAATGGGAGTAGATAACCGCATCCTTTTTGCCTTGCCTTTGCCGCTTCCCCTTTGTTGTTTGGTATAGGTTCTGGGTGCTTCCCTCCCGTGTCTTGTCTTGCGTGCTCTCGGCGTGGGGAGCAATGGCGCACGCCGCAGCGGAGGCGGGGGCAGCCAGCCGGGAGGCAACCAGGCAGGCTGGCGGGGGAGGGAGCCAGGGTGGTGGTGGTTCGGCAGTTCCGCCGCGGCTGGCTACGGCTACGGTTGCTTGATGCTACATAGATGAAGTCCCTGACGCGTGGGTCCCTGATGAAGTCACTGTGGTAGTGATAGTGGCCAGGAGGATTCTTCAAGAAAATACTGGCCAGGAGGACGGACTCGTGTCGCGGCGGGGACGAACGGCGGGGAGGTGCCAGCTACACCACACGCAGCCTATCCACGTTCTGCCGCTCGCACAACCAACACGGACAAGGAGTTTTCTTAGGCTTCCCCAACGCACCTGGCTGGGCGTACTGCCCCAAGTTCCATCTCAGCATCCATTGTCCATGTCACAGCAAACGATGGTCTCGCAGTTGTTAGGAATAGCTTGTAGAAGCTGCATAGTTTTCTCTAACGAAAAGTTGAGGCCACAGTTTGTTTAGTTTCTCCTCAAAAATTTACACCATATTCCATCGAATATTTAACACATATATGAAGTATTAAATATAGGCTAAAAAAATAACTAATTATGACTACTTTACGAGACGAATCTTTTAATCTTAATTAGCATATGATTTGATAATGTGGTGCTACAGTAACATATGTGATAATGACGGCTTAATTAGGCTTAATCAGTCTGTTCGCTGGTTGGTTTCAGCCATGGCTTATCAGCCAGCCAACAGTGTTTTCCTCTCACAATAAACCAGCACCAGCCGAACTTATTAGCCCAGAAACCGACCAGCAAACAGACTTAATAAATTCGTCTCGTGGTTTACTGATAGATTCTATAATTTGTTTTTTTATTAGTATCCAAACACCCATACGATATCCCGATGCGACACCCCAAAACTTTACGCCCTTGGAACTAAACAGACCTCGGTCTCGCGTTACAGAGAAAGGGTGGTGTTCTAGCACTTGTGCATCCTTAAAATAAGCTGCAGAACCATTTTAAAGCTGCAATAGAGCATGTATCTGCGTTAGGAGAATGTGAGTTCTCTCTATTGCTTGCTTATGTGTACTGTGTTTTTTTCATGAGGCTAACAGCTTTGTTCGCCCGCGTTGGTGGTGCCCTTAGCGGCCAGCCTTCGGTCCATTATATCTGACGCACATTCATATTAAGATTCAAACTTTAAAAACTTTAACTAATAATTAGGCTAATAATTTTTAACTATTATGATACAAACTTTATATGATTAGGTTTGTAAGGAATTATACTATCCAATATTTATAAGTTTATAAGCATAAACAATATAATATAAAGCAAATGAATGGTCAAAGATATACGGCGTCGAGCTCGGCGTCAAGATCCACGACGCCGAGCTCATGTCACGTCCGCGCCACGCAAGCAGCCACGTCAACGACATGCAGAAAACAACCCTGGACCTTGGCGTCAAAGCAATTGGCGCCGAGACGTGTAAGCTCGGCGCCAATTGTCACGACGCCGAGGCCAGGATCTATTTTTTGAAAGGATACCTTCCGTCCGTCTTTTCTTGAACATTTGACTTCAAATCCTAGCTTTTATAAGGCTCATGCTTCGATCCCGCTACCGCTCTATCACTAACATCGATGAATTAAGAGAAACGGAAAGAGAGGGATTCGAACCCTCGATAAACAAAAGTCTACATAGCAGTTCCAATGCTACGCCTTGAACCGCTCGACCATCTCTCCTACATAATCTTATTATGAAAAATAAACTAAGTGAATAGCGAGTTTTCGTATTCCTCCCAGCGGAGACGTAATTGTAAAAATCTTTCAAAAAAAAAAAGGGCCGAAAAAAAACGACTAAACCGGCTTCTCCTTGGAGGCGCGTAATCCACCAGAATCTCGTTGTCAAAATAAATAAATAAATAACGACCAGAATCTGCGGCTATCGTGATCCCGGATAACAAATCCCCCGCAGCAAAGGAAATTTGATTTCGACATCGATCATCGTCCTCTTCCTCCACTAAACCCTAGCTAACCCGCGCCCGCGCCGCCGCCATGGACGCGATCGACGCGGAGCTCGCGCGCGCGCAGGAGGAGCGGCGCAAGGTGGAGGAGGCGCTGGCGGCCGGCGCGTCCATGGCCGTGTCCTCCGTCACCTTCGACACCGATCTCTACGGCGGCGGGGGCGCCGACCCGGACCGCGCCGGCTACGACACCTCCATCCCTGCCTCCGAGGACGCCGCCGCCGAGGACGAGGCCGCCGCCCCCGCGCCGCGCCGGCTCGCGACCTACACGGGCCACGCCATCGCCGCCGCCGACCTCCCGCGCTCGGCCGACGGCGACGACGATGGGCTAGGGCTGCCCAAGCGGTCCCAGCGCATCATCGACCGCGAGGACGACTACCGCCGCCGCCGCCTCAACCAGATCATCTCGCTGGAGCGCCATGACCCGTTCGCCGCCGGGGAGGTCACCCCGGACCCCGCGGTGCGGAACTACGCCGACGTCATGCGCGATGCCGCGCTGCAGAAGAAGAAGGAGGACCTGCTCAGGGAGATTGCTAAGAAGAAGGAGGAGGAGAGGAAGGCTGCCGCCGTTCCTGAGCAGCCAGCCGCCATGACGACGAAGCGACGCAACAGGTGGGATCAGTCGCAGGAAGGCGATGCTGCTGCCGGTGCCAAGAAGGCAAAGACATCGTCGGACTGGGATGCCCCTGACGCGACTCCTGGGATTGGGCGTTGGGATGCCACCCCGGGACGTGTTGGAGACGTGACGCCTTCTGTCAGAAGGAACAGATGGGATGAGACACCAACTCCAGGGAGGATGGCTGATGCTGATGCGACACCTGCAGCTGGCGGTGCGACTCCTGGGGCAACTCCTTCTGGGGCTTGGGATGCGACCCCAAAGCTGCCTGGTGGTGTCACGCCAACCCCTGGTAAGAAGCAGAGATCAAGGTGGGATGAGACGCCAGCCGGTATGGGGAGTGCAACCCCCGGTGGTCTTGGTGGTGCTGCAACACCTGCTGGTTATACCCCTGGGCCGACGCCATTTGGTGCAGAGGACCTTGCCACACCAACTCCTAGCCAGATCGCTCGTGGACCTATGACTCTGGACCTGTACAACCAATCCCGGTGGCAGCAGGACATTCAGGAGAGGAACAGGCCTCTCACCGACGAGGAGCTTGATGCCATGTTCCCGCAGGAGGGGTACAAGATTCTTGAGCCCCCGGCTTCCTACCAGCCCATAAGGACCCGGGCAAGGAAGCTGCTTGCCACACCAACACCTCTGGGGACACCACTTTATGCTATTCCAGAGGAGAATCGTGGGCAGCATTTTGATCTGCCCAAGGAGACGACTGGTGGGTTACTGCTCATGAAGCCGGAGGATTACCAATACTTTGGAGCATTGCTGAATGAGGAAGTGGAGGAACAGCTATCTCCAGAGGAGCCGAAGGAGAGAAAAATCATGAAACTGTTGCTCAAAGTGAAGAATGGCACACCCCCACAGCGTAAAACAGCACTTCGGCAGCTGGCAGACAAAGCCCGGGAATTCGGTGCTGGACCACTTTTCAACAAAATCCTGCCCTTACTCATGCAGCCAACACTGGAGGACCAGGAGAGGCACCTCCTGGTGAAGGTTATTGATAGGGTACTGTATAAGCTGGATGAGTTGGTCCGTCCCTTTGTGCACAAGATTCTTGTGGTTATTGAACCGTTGTTGATTGACGAGGACTACTATGCTCGTGTTGAGGGCAGGGAGATTATCTCAAATCTTAGCAAAGCAGCTGGTCTTGCTACTATGATTGCTGCCATGAGACCGGATATTGATAACATTGATGAGTATGTGAGGAACACCACTGCTAGGGCGTTCAGCGTGGTGGCTTCTGCTTTGGGCATCCCTGCTCTTTTACCATTCTTGAAGGCTGTCTGTCAAAGTAAGAAGTCTTGGCAGGCTCGGCACACTGGTATCAAAATCGTTCAGCAGATTGCTATTCTCATGGGCTGTGCTGTTCTACCACATCTCAAGTCACTAGTTGAGATCATTGAGCATGGTCTGAGCGATGAGAACCAGAAAGTCAGGACAATTACTGCCCTTTCTCTTGCTGCACTTGCTGAGGCTGCTGCACCATATGGTATATAGGGCTGAAAACGATAACGATAATTTCCGTTTACCGGGAATCGTTTTTAAAAAATTACCGACTTTTGCTCCTAAATGAAAGTGGTGACGGTAACCGAGGAAACGAAAATGAGAATGGTAAAACTATACGGTAATGAAAACGAAAATGATTTGCCTCACTTCCGACCGTTTTCGAAAAATACCGTAATTAGCCAGTATTCTACCGTCGATAATTACCGTATCCCAGGCAGGCCACGAGCCCACAACACCATCCCTGGCTCTTCCTGAATCATAGACTAGGCCCAGCCTACTGAGTGTTGAGCGCTCTCCTTGCTAGCCTTATCCCCACGCAAAAATCATGTCTCTTGCATTATTCCTCGTTTCTATCCTTTTTTAAGTCCAAGTATCGAACTAAACTTGGTTCGATTACGAGTGTACTGGTGTCGGGTACCTTAGAACGGGGTACCCCAAGCAAACGTCAAAACAAAGCTAGAAGGTAAGCCATGGGCCCCTCACCTGCCGCGACCGAGCCCTCCTCCACCTCGCCTCGAGCCTCGGGCAGGAGGTCTCGGAACGAACTCCGCCTCGCGCGAGGCTCCCCAAGGTAGGCCTCGGCAGGGGACGCCGTCTCCGTCTCGCCCGAGGCTATCCAGGGAAGGCCTCGGCAGAGGCCTCATTCTCCGTGTCGCTGTGAGGCCTCATTCTCCGTGTCGCTCGAGGCCGGCTCGCCCACGGTCCGTCGCCCCCCCGTCTCGTAATCCCTCCCAACAACTCGTCATGTCTCATTAATGCTTCAACCACTCCCGCAATCTCAGCGGACGGTGGCTCAACGCCACAGATGGCCGACGCGACCGAGGTCGCATCGGCCTCCATACCGCCGGACAAGCCATCGTGTCCTACCACCGTGTCCTACCACTGTGTCCACGACCAGGCACCATACCGACCGGGAAAGGGCGACGGGATTACCGACCACTGTGTCCAACGCGCTGTGCCCATGATCGGCCGCCCGCTCAAGGCCTCGACCGATGTACACGAGGCCTCGGCGATCTTGGGGTTCGCGCTACCGCCGAGACCCCCACGCGCGCGGTCGGGCCTCGGCATCGACCAAGCCTCGGCATCGCAAGCACAGTCCGTCCACGATGGCTTACTTGCGTTCGCCGCCGCATCCACTCCGAGGCATTTCCGGGCTCCCACGACGCACAGACTCTGATGGGATGACCACGCCCCAAATACTCAAGGATGGACCACTCCGGCCACGCCACGCCGCCACGAGAACAGGCTACGAGGGGCGGGACACGCCGCCTCTCACACGACGCCAGTATAGTCAAGACACATGTACGCCCAAGTCCTCCCTTCATGCTATAAAAGGAGAGGACTGGGTTGTTTTAGGGACGGGGACACCTTGTAACACACACGCACACTCCTGCCGCCAGAGAGCAACGTCTCAAGCGGCCCGCGCACAACACCTGCCGAGACCTAGGACCAGCTCCTTCTCTCCTTTAGCTTGTAACCCCCTACTACGAGCACCTCGGTGCAAGGAATATAAGATCGATCTCTCAGACTGGAAGTAGGGCCTCGATTGCCTGAACCAGTATAAACCTTGTGTCTCTTTGCATCACCATCCGGATCGGGAGCACGCAGAACAAATTCACTAGTTGGTTGAGGACCCCCTAGTCCGAAACACCGACAGTTGGCGCGCCAGGTAGGGGCCTCTGCGTGTCAGCTTCGTCATCCTAACAAGTTCTGGATGGCAGACCCCATACGACCACTACATCTCGGCACGATGATCTAGTTCGGAGCCTAGAGTTCATGTCTCTAGGATGCGAGTACGACATGGTACTCCTCATGCCCCGAGCCCCGCCGACCGACGTCGACATCACGCACCAGCAGCCCAGGCGCGGGTGGCTCCCAAGCCGCCGCTCTCGTCACGCTCGCCAGGCGCAACGCGGGCAGGACCACCTCGACACCGCGCGAGCTCATGGTGGCGCACCGCGTTCTGCCGGCACCCCATGTCCAGCTATTGGCACAAGGTCCCTGGTTGGGGACCTGACTTGCCTGAGCCTGGACATGGGTGAAACGCCGACGGCATGCGGCGACGCCCCGTCGGCATCCCATGCCCGGCTGTTGGTACAGAGTCCCTGGTTGGGGACCTGTCTAGCTTAAGACTGGGCAGGGGAAAGACGCCGGTGGCGCGGAGCGACGTCCTGCCATCAAGCTCTGCCCCGCCACCTCCTGAGGAGCCGATTTCTTTCATCACCCCATTCGACATGTACTACTATGTGACTATGCCATTCAGTCTCAGAAATGCAGGGACCACGTACCAGCGGTGCACCACCCAGGTCTTGGGCGAGCACATCGGACGAACCATCGAGGCCAGCATGGACGACATTAAGGACAAGTCCAGGAAGGCCAGTGACCTCATCGACGACTTGGAAGTTGGTGGCCCGCCCGAGTACTAAAGCACGGGACCTACAAGCTAGCCTACGAGAAGGGCAAAATCCTCACCAACACTTGGAACATAAAACAGATACGTCGCTTCTACCCTTAAATTCCCAAGCGTCATACAATTTTCCTTGAAATACAATAAAGAAGCGTTCTTTAATTGTTCTAAATTTTTGAGGAACCCCCCGAGCCCATCGGTACGGGTTCGGCATTACGATAACGCAAGGGGGGAGACTCGACTCTGCCTCTATAGAACCGAGCCTCCCTCGGGGGGCTAGGGGGGAACCTCCCCCCTAATCCCAAACTCTGTCACGAACTCTGACAAATCGCTTGCAAAAACCTAAGGACCAAAAGTTTGCCTCGAGGCCAAAAGGCCGGCTGAGCCGCGAGACAGCCTACGCCTCTGGGCTACGGCAACTCCCTCACCACCTTTCGCCTGAGGGGCAGCTTAGGCTCCAAGGAAGTTTTTGCAAAGGACTTGTCTAAAAACGAGACAGGGGGACACCGTTTTTTAGTCGTCTTTTCAAAAAAAATTCCTACGTCGAACTCTCTCGCGTACTCTGACAAATCAATTGTAAAAAACCTAAGGACCGAAAGTATGCCTCGAGGGCAAAAGGCCGGCCGAGCCGCGAGACTGCCTACGCCTCTGGGCTACGGCAACTCCCTCACCACCTTTTGCCAGAGGGGCAGCTTGGGCTCCGAGGAAGTTTTTTGCAAGTGATATGTTCAGAAACGGAGCAGAGAGCAAGGGCTGGAAACATAATAGAAAATGATTAAGATGCATATATACACAAGTACTGAAAAGGCCTCGACGGCCACAAACGTTATGGTACAATGATGTACGTCCTAATCTATTACATGACCCCTTTGGCCCAGGTCAGAATACGGGTCACCAGCATCGACGGACGGTGTAGGAGGAGCCACCTCCTCTTCGAACAGTCGGGCCAGCGTCGTGCCAGGGGAACTCCTGATCGCCCTCTCGCTCCGTGCAGAGGCTCGGGGGCTCTTCTTGCAAACTTGCCGGGGACCCAGCGACCCGCACTCGCACTCAGGGGCCCGACAAACGCAATAAACTCCTCGCTCAATAGGAACAAAGCCCCTGGAGGAGTAAATCCACCCCTCCAGGGCCTCGGGGCCTACACCCAGCGGGTGCGCTAGCGCGCACCCACCGGAACCACGAGAGCAAAACATAATCCCGGCGGGAGCAGCTGCAAGCCTAGTCTCGACAAACCCTCAGGGAGAGTGCTCACACTCCCCCCGAGGCTCGGGGGCTACTGTCGGATACCAGAAAAAGGGGTACCCTAAGCAAGAACCGAAAAGATTGCTTAGACCTTACAAATATCAAAGCCGAAGGACAACCACGGGGCCTCGGCCGATTCTCCGATTCGCCCCGCCGAGGCCCTCTCGCCGAGGCCTTCTCGCCGAGGCCGATTCTAGCCGAGGCCGAGTCTCCGAGGCCCCCTCGCCGAGGCCCTCTCGCCGAGGCCGATTCTTCGATTTGCCCCGCCGAGGACGAGTCTCCGAGGCCGCCCCGCCGAGGCCCCCTCGCCGAGGCCGAGTCTTCGATTCGCCCCGCCGAGGCCTTCTCACCGAGGCCGATTCTCGCCGAGGCCGATTTTCCGATTCGCCCCGCCGAGGCCCTCTCGCCGAGGCCGACTCTCTGATTCGCCCCGCCGAGGCCCTCTCGCCGAGGCTGATTCTCGCCGAGGCCCTCTCGCCGAGGCTGATTCTCGCCGAGGCCCTCTCGCCGAGGCCCTCTGGCAGGTTGTCCCATCCATTTAATGCGCATGAATGCACCCACTACATCAGCCACGACCAGCAGGGTATGGCAACAGGAACGATGGGACATCGGTCCAATCTCCTTTTTACCATCCCTTACTGATGGTGCAGGGGTTACCATGCCCTGCGGCCACATGCCCTGCACCTTTCCACCTAAACCGGGTACGACGCTGACCACCAAGGCCCCCGCATCATACTCAGGTCACCTCCCAGGCCTCTACGGAGACAGCCACAAACACCTGATAGGCCTCGACGCCCCACCAAGTCAAAAAATCCACAGGGCATGGCATGTCACCACAGTGAAGGCCATGCTGACTAGACGTCAACAAGGACTCCTACGACTTCAACAGTCTCGGGCATGGCCTGCGTGACACACCAGTGATCAAGTACTAATTGCCATTCCCGACACTGTGCTGCTACAGGGATATAGTACTAGATCTTCCTTCTAAGGCTCCACGTGTAGCTCTCTCATGTATTCCTGGCTCCCTCCTTACAGCTATAAAAGGGGGTAGCCAGGGCCATTTCTGGGGGAGGGGGGACACCTTGTAACACACACGCACACTCCTGCCGCCGAAGAGCAACGTCTCGAGCGGCCCGCACGGCACCCTGCCGAGACCTAGGACCAGCTCCTTCTCTCCTTTAGCTTGTAACCCCCTACTACGAGCACCTCGGTGCAAGGAATACAAGATCGATCTCTCAGACTGGAAATAGGGCCTCGATTGCCTGAACCAGTATAAACCTTGTGTCTCTTTGCATCACCATCCGGAATCGGGAGCACGCAGAACAAATTCACTAGTCAGTTGAGGACCCCCCCGGTCCGAAACACCGACAACTGGTATGTAAGTTTGTGAGTGGCTAATATGTCTATGTGGCTGTCAGCTTGTGTGCTCGTGTGATCTAACTCTTAAGTCCAGGACGTTAGAACTTGTGGTTGTGGGCTTATGGCTTTTGTCACTTCTGGTTCTTTCGTATCAAGTATAACTATGTGTCAAGCTATATAACTATTGTCATGCTCTGCAGATTGACGTGTTTATCGTATTTCAGATACCGCTTTGATGATTTTCGATCGTTGTCGATGCACTTTCGAACAAATAGTTTCGTTTCCGAAATTATCGGAATATCGACACCGTATTCATTTCCGCCAATATCGTATCGATTTCATTTTCGAGAAAATAATGTGAAAATGAAAGTGATTTAACCTCCTACCGATCGTTTCCGACCGTTTTCAGCCCTAATGGTATAGAAAGTTTTGATACTGTATTGAAGCCTTTGTGGAAGGGTGTCAAATCTCACCGTGGGAAGGTCCTAGCTGCCTTCCTGAAGGCCATTGGTTTCATCATCCCTCTTATGGATGCTGTGTATGCTAGTTTCTACACAAAGGAGGTGATGCAGGTCCTCATTAGGGAGTTCCAATCTCCAGATGAAGAAGATTGTCCTCAAGGTCGTGAAACAGTGTGTCAGTACAGAGGGGGTGGAGGCTGATTATATCCGGAATGACATCCTTTCAAAATTCTTCAAGCACTTCTGGGTCAGGAGAATGGCTCTAGATCGCAGGAACTATAAACAGCTTGTGGAAACTACAGTGGAGATGGCAAACAAGGTTGGAGTTGCTGATATTGTTGGGAAGATTGTTGAGGATCTGAAAGATGAAAGCGAGCCCTACAGAAAAATGGTGATGGAAACAATTGAGAAGATGGTGGCCAACTTGGGTTCTTCAGATATTGATGCTCGTCTGGAGGAGCCGCTTATTGACGGTATCTTATATGCTTTCCAAGAGCAGACTAGTGATGATGCAACTGTCATGCTTAATGGTTTTGGAGCTGTGGTTAATGCAATTGGACAGAGAGTTAAGCCTTACCTTCCTCAGATTTGTGGTACCATCAAGTGGCGATTGAACAACAAGAGTGCAAAAGTTAGGCAGCAAGCTGCTGATCTGATCTCCAGGATAGCAGTTGTTATGAAGCAGTGCCAGGAGGAGCAGCTTATGGGTCACTTGGGTGTTGTGCTGTATGAGTACTTAGGGGAGGAGTATCGTGAGGTGTTGGGTTCAATTCTTGGAGCCTTGAAGGCTATCGTCAATGTCATTGGTATGACTAAAATGACTCCTCCAATCAAAGACCTTCTTCCTCGTCTGACCCCCATCTTGAAGAACAGGCATGAGAAGGTCCAAGAGAACTGCATTGATCTTGTTGGTAGGATTGCTGATCGTGGAGCAGAATTTGTGCCAGCAAGGGAATGGATGAGGATTTGTTTTGAGCTGCTTGAAATGTTGAAGGCTCATAAGAAGGGTATTAGGAGAGCCACTGTGAACACATTTGGTTATATTGCAAAGGCTATAGGGCCACAGGACGTGTTGTCCACCCTGTTGAATAACTTGAAGGTGCAGGAGCGACAGAACCGTGTCTGCACAACTGTAGCAATTGCCATTGTTGCTGAAACTTGCTCACCTTTCACAGTTTTGCCTGCCCTTATGATTGAGTACCGGGTCCCAGAGCTCAATGTCCAAAATGGTGTTCTGAAGTCACTCTCTTTCCTCTTTGAGTATATTGGTGAGATGGGCAAAGATTACATATATGCTGTCACCCCCTTACTTGAAGATGCTTTAATGGATAGAGATCTGGTTCACCGCCAGACTGCTGCCTCTGCTGTTAAGCACATGGCTCTAGGTGTTGCTGGCTTGGGTTGTGAGGATGCTTTTGTTCATCTGCTTAACTATGTTTGGCCTAACATATTTGAGACATCTCCCCATGTTATAAATGCTGTCATGGAGGCAATTGAGGGGATGAGGGTTGCGCTAGGTCCAGCTGTGATTTTAAATTATTGCCTGCAAGGTCTCTTCCATCCAGCAAGGAAAGTACGTGAAGTGTATTGGAAGATATACAACTCTTTGTACATTGGTGCACAGGATTCGCTTGTTGCTTCTTACCCTGCCCTGGAAGACAATGGGGATAACATCTATAGCTGTCCAGAGCTGGCAGTGTTTGTCTGATTAACGTGAGTCTTGCTTACTCCCAAATTTTTGCACGATGATATTAAAAGCTTTGTTTTCAGTTCATTATCTGGATCCTTAGACCATGAAGCTCAAATCTACTTGCGTCACTGACTTCTGTATTCTAGTAACCAACCTCATTGTAGTTTTTAGTTTGCTGCTTTGCTTTAAGTGAAGTGATTTATGTTCTTTAATGATTTTTTTAGGAATCTGGAGGGGCTTTCGTCCCTACATTTAATGAATATATTTGGGGTGGTTATTGGTGTGATGAGTGATGATTTAAAAACACTGATTCCAATTTTGGCCTGGCTATTCGTAAGGCGTCATTCATTATTGTTTGGATTTAATGTCAAGGCTCTCTAGATAATTGCATTGCTAACACTTGTGGCACGTGACTGTTGTCAGTGAGCTGGGCAATTTTTACCATTTGATCTTGCATTATCAAGCAGTAGTTTGTCTGTATTGTGTTCGTTTTTGCTTTTGTTTTTCCTGTATGTTCTCTCTGCAAAGGAAGAATCTGATATGCAAACTCATTGACAGGTTGGATGTTCATGTCCATGTATCTTCATCCATATTTTTGTGAAGCTTGAACTAGGTGGTATTTGAGTTAGATCTTGTATTTAAATTACTTGGTGACCCCTCTTGTGATGCATGTAACTGAAGCTGCATCTCTTTGTACTTGCAGGATTGTTCCTTTTGAAGGGGTTGCAATGTTTAGGAAATTTAATTCTGGTTTACTGTAATATGCAACTCTAAATTGCTCCCATAATCTGATCAACTAATCATTTCGGAATTGTTTTGCTTTCAGGGTACTTTGTGTTCAAGCTGCTGAAGAGTTCCACCGGATTTAGGGTCAATACCAAGGCTGCAGCATATTTAGTTCACTGCTGAGTAACCATTAATCTATCAGGATCATATAGGTTGAAGAAATGACAATCATAGGGTGTTATCGTACTTTTATGAATAATTAGGCTATGACAATACTGTGTACTTAAACTTTGTATTAGCCGTGGAGTAGCTTGTATGGAGGAGAGAATGGTGTTTTCATATGGTTTGGTCATGTAAATGCCTGTTCTCTTCGAGTCTGAGGTTTCTCTAATAATTGGCATACGCTGCTGGATAGTTTTGTACTTGCTTACCTTCATACTGTTTCAAGGCTAAAACCATTACTATGTTGCGACTTTTTATTTATGTTTGCTGTGATACTGGATGTTCTCAGATGGTGTTTAATGCAACAAATAAATGTATGTGTTGTGTGTTTTGACATCCTGCGAACCCACAAGGTATCAGGTTTATTAAAACTCCCTCGGCTTTCCTCGCACGAGGGAGTTTGGAGCATCGGTGGCTCCTTCGCGCGCGGACGTGTGACCGCGGTGCCTGGGAAACCAACACCGGTGTCTTCGGGCCTCCTACTGTTGCTGAGGGCACGCTGGAGTGTGGCGACAACAGCTTGTTCCAGATGCATACCGTCGAGGACTTGGAGGCGACCATCAGGTATGTACCCCTACACTCCTATCCCATCTCCTCTCCTTTCCGAATTAGAAAAATGTTGCTGTGTGATGGATTGTTTAGTTGAACTGAATCTCCGGATGCATATAACCACAGAATGCCTAAAATTTGCTCACTCAACTCAGTGACCAATGTGACCTTATCAGTGAGGCTTTCTAACTCTAATTCAGTGACACCAACTGAGCTCCGTTGCTCCAAACTTCATGGTTCATTTCCTGAATTCACCATATGAAAATTTGATAAGCAAATGAATAGGGAATTATGGTTGGGAACAGTCAAAGAACATGTACCTCTGAATCGCAGCATATGCAGTTTAGCGCTTCATCATACCATTGCAGGTATGTGCAGTGTGCACTAAGTGAAATTTCATGGATGAAGCTGTGAACTATTTCTCCTTTGGATGCCCAAATGGGTATTTGTTAGGATTTGTTTAATCCCCCTTGCTTTCTTTGCCATATAATGGCTCACATGTATTTTGTTTCGCGTTAAAAGGCTCCTTTTGGGCTGAGACGCAGCATGAGGCATCGCTTTTTGGTGTTTTTGTTTAAGTTGTTCCTGTGGTCTCCTTCCTGAACTGAAAACTTTATATAATTATATATATGTCCATGTTTGTATTTCTCCACCAAAATGCAGATTACAACAATTGAGTTCATGAGTATGATGCATTTAAGGATAAGTGTAAATATTGACAAGTGCAGGTTAAAAACACTCAAATAGTTTAATCAAACAATGTGTCTGTTGTGATATGTCAGTTGTTTGAAATAGTTCAGTATGTTTTACTCTACATGCTTCATGATATGCTTTGTACCTTGAAATATTTTGATAACTTCAGTCTCATGGACATTTTGATAATTTTAGTTGTTTTGGTAATCAGTTCTACGATAGGTCAAATTGAGTTCTGCTGCAGACTTGCCACCTTGTCCTAATACATGCACTTCAGTAGCTGTACAAAAGTCAGGTTAGTTAGAAATGTAATTTTGTCACGTATAGTTTCAATGACACAACGGATGGCTAATGACCATCGGCACAAATTCTTTGAAGTGTTGTATTGAAGTAGCTTGCTAGCCAGTGTTCTGTTCACCTCAGTGCCCTATATCAGGCTATAACACCTATATCAGGAATAGACTGGCCAGTGTGATGCCAGAGAGCATTTCTGTCAATTGCTACTTGGTTGCTTGATCCTTTACCACTCAGAACATTCTTGTTTGCATTAAAAATTAGAGGTCAACTTACTTTTTACCACTAAGAAATTTGTCATGTGATAGAATTAATAAAAATACTTACAAGGAGGTGGGCTTTCCTTCTGTCTGAAGGCAATGGCAGGTTAATGACTTGGTCCTGTCTGTTCTTTCTGTTCATCTGTGCCATCCTTTTCAATTCTTGATTGTTGGAATATCCTGTTTTTTGGTAGTAGCTTTGCTCCCTGAATTGTTCCCCTGCTCTTTAGCTTAATCATTCTAAGAAATTTAGCAGAATGCCTCTCTGACTTTTTAGCATTTTGTTGTTCTAATGCTTCTTTCTACGGCTTCTTGCAAATGTTTTTTTTCCTTTCCTGTGGCGGTTTTCCTATTTCGTATGTGTTCGCTATCTCTTGGTGCCTACTGTTTCCCTTCCTTTATTGACAGTGAATTCAGCTATGAAATGGAAGCTCTGTTAAATAGCAGAGTCTGACTAGCAGCACTGTAGGAATTTTTAGTGGCCCCTGAACTGAAACTGACAAGAGACCCACAAATGCAGTATGGGTTCCATGCATGTTTTGTAACCTGAACAATACACATCCAGGCATGAATGTTGGATACAGTACACGTAAATAGCTGTGACCACTCTCTGTATTGCAAATAAGTACAGTATAGTTTTTTTTCTTATTACCTGTAGGTATTTAGCTAAACATTAGTATTACGCTACTAGTTCGTGCTTAATATGGGCGGGTGGGCGTACGGGCCACCGAGCCAGCCATCGTCGATGCGGCGGTTCGCCGCCTCGGTGAGGTGCACGCCGTCCCAGTCCACGTACGCCGACGGGTCCGCGCAGGTGCTGACGCCCGGTGAGGTTGAAGTTGTACCCCCGCCGCCGCCGCAGCAGCAAGCTTTCAGAGCACTGTCGCCATCAGTGCCGTTGAAGCCGTAGCGGTCGGGAGACGTCGCGAAGTCGACGATGGACGCGTAGAAGTCGGCGTAGATGAGCCTCACGCCGTCAGAGCCCGACGGAGCTGCCGGTTGTGGTTCTTGGAGAGAAGGTTCAGGTACCTGAGGCACCCCGTGCGTGGCTCCAGCTCTGCCCCGGTCTGGTTCGCCAGGAGCGCCAGGTTCGCCGCCGCGCACCCCAGCGGTGGGATCCCCGGCACCAGCACCGTCTTGCTGCCGCCTTTTTCAGTTTCTGCGGCGAGGCACAGGCGAGAGTGTGAAGTGGAAATGTGGAACACTACCGTATAAGCTCGATCATGTACCTCCGTGGCCGCGCAGATGTTTCCAACGATTTCAGGCACGTGAGATGCCGCCTCGCCGACGCTCTTGCCGGCGAGCAGCATGATCGCGTAGTCGTTCCAGCCGAGCTCCCCGACGATGAACAGCGCCGTCGACAAGTACCCCTGGCATGCTACGTACAGATCGTAGTAGTACGTTTCAGGTCTGAGCACTTGCGATTGCGAATCAACGACGATTCTTGCGTGTGGTAGCGTGTCGCGAGAAAGAACCTTGGGGTGAGCCGCCGCAGAGCGCGGGCTTGAGGGCGTCGAACCACCCGAGCTGGACGCCGAGGGAGATGTTGAACGGAGAAACGGCCTTGAAGCCCTTGTCCACGAAGAAGGCCCGCTCCAGCGCCGTGGCGCCGCCCACCGCGAAGTTCACGCCTCGCCGGAAGCTCTGGTTCGCCGCCGCCGACAACCACGGCAGGAGGAGAGGGAGCCCCAGCGCTTCGGCTGCATGGAAACGGATGGAGGACGTCATACGTCAGCCTCGCCGCACCGGCAAGTCCGGTGGTTTTGAACCATGTGTGCTTGCATGCATATTGCCGGAAGGAGGCAGCAGCAGGGCTTGCCGATGAAGTCGATCGCCAATCTCCCGTCGGAGGCGCGGCCGGTGGGGTGCGCGAAGAAGGTCATCCCATACGGCGGCTTCGCTATCCATACACCGGGTGTGAGGTGTCGCCGGCCCGCCGTAGAGGATGACAAGGTTGCCGGTGTCATTGTAGGAGTAAGATCGAGGTGTAGTTGGCCTGCATCGAACAGGAGAAGCTGGAGAGTAACAGAAAGATTTGCATGCAGAGAACTGCTAGGGGCTTCAATGGAGCTCCCGAAGATCGGAATTGCAGGGTTCCGTCCCTTCCAATTTCCAAAGGAATGTAATCGGAAGGTTTATTTCTAGTCGTATTTGCAATGTTCGTTGGGTTCCGAGTCTTTGTGTGGTTTATACAGTTCTTTATTATATGCATAGAGTCAACGCCCAACGCTCAAAGTTACAATCTCAATGTTTTTTTGGGGGATCACCATTGCT